CGAGGCCGAGTTGAGGAGCTGGAGATGACCGAGAACATGCTTCGCGAGACCCTCCAGCAGGCCGACCTCATACTAGCTCAAAGAGAGAAAAAGCTCAGAGATCAGGTGTGTAGGGCTGCCCCGGTGGTCTGTCTTAATACAAAGCGTTGTCTGTGCAGCTCTAGCCAATGTCGGCTAACAGTTGTTCATCTCATGGCCGCCATTCTCATTCTGTTAATTCCACCGCCAGGTTTCATCCCTTCAAGAGGAGGTACAGTCATACAAGGCCCAGCTAGAGTCTGCGGCGTCTAAGGAACATGGTGCTAGAGAATGCGAGGTATCTTACAAGAAGCAATTGGAGGAGTTAAAAGCCCGACTTGCTGAGACGGAACGGCAACTGAGAGAGTCATCATCCGAGACGAATAGTCAAGAGACTCAGCACCGTTCTGAGGTAGATATTTTTTGCAGAATTTATTTATTAGATAAATCCACTAACGATGTTAGAATTAAATCTGGAGTTCGAAGAATATGCCTTGAATACAAGACAATTAAGTCGTTCGTTTCCCCCGCTCTCAGGTTACAAAACTTCGTAATCAGCTTAAATTAGGGAACTCACAGCTTAATGAACTCGAGAGACTTAACTGTGAGCTGCGTGACCGGGTGCTGGCAGCAGAGGCGCAGAGCGAGCATTTAGCGAAAGAGTTGGAGGAACAGTGCCGTCGTCACGAGCAGGATCTTCTTACTCTCAACCTCCAGGTGAGCTCCCCTGCGGGACATAAGGTGCCAGCTTTGCTGGGGCGTTGCTATTGTATGTGTGTGAGAGCTTGTGTCCATTGCTGCTCTGGGATATTTATGTTTTAGACCGGTTGAGAGTATTATGGTGTCTTTCCAGGTATCCGCTGGGGAAAGCCATGTTAAGGAGCTACAGGGTCAGCTCGAACAGCTGAGCCATGAACATGCCGCTAGTGAGCTGGACGTCCTGGCTGCCTCACCCATAGCTCCGCTTTATGCTACCATTACTTCCCTAATAACTGCCCTCAAGGTTAGTTTCTCAGCCTTATAACACACTGATCTGCAGAACAGTATTGTTTTATCTCGGCTGTGTTTCCTGGCAACATGGCATTTTCAAACATGTGATTGATTCACGCATAATCAACGGTTCTATCCGTTTTATCCTCAGAGCTGCGAGTCCTGTAGCGAGACCCAGAAGAGCACGTTGGCCGAGGTGACCGCTCAGCTCGGCACCCTGGCGAGCTGCTCGAGGGCAGGGCCAGTAACTCCGACACGGACGTAACCTTGGATAGTGATGAGGGAGGTGAGTAGATCGGCTTGGAAAATTGAGACCACCTCAGTTACCCAAATGAGCTTACAAGGCTTAGCAGCATTGCAGTTTGCGCTAACCGCTGACCTTCTTTCCAGAAACATTCATCACAGACACAGCAGAAAACTTGGCCGGCGAAGCCACTACGACCCCCCCTCCCACCCCCGCCGGGGAGGGGCTTCGGGAACACTCGAGCGGGGACGCCACCAACTGCGACTCTGGCGCGAGCTTCCAAAGAACCAAACGCCGGAGGAGCAGAAGGCGGTTGGAGGAGCGCAGCAGCAGAAGGCTCGTGCGCCCTCAGGGCTCTTCCACAATCCTGGAGGAGTTGGAGGAGAAGGTTCGGGAACTGGAGGAGGCGATAGGACGGAAGGAGGAGGAACTCCGTCTGGCTGACAACGAAGCCAGCGAGCTCAACCAACAGCTGCAGTCGCGGGATGCTGCCCTCACACTCAAGGTCTGCACGCACGTCCTTTATTCGTGTCTGTCATGTCATCTCGTAACAAACACGTGAGATGGAAAGGTATCGAAACTTTTTATTGCTATTTCATTAGTACAATTTAGTAATTTACATGAATATGCATAATCAGATTATGATTTCCTGGCAGGGTGAAGAGGTGGAGCATCTGAACAGTACGCTGGCTAGTCTCCGTCAGCAGCTCATGCAAACCGTGGAGGACTACGAGCGTGCGAGGATGTCCTTAGAAGCGAAGCACAAGGCACGAACATTCTGTGCAACACCTTGCCATGTTCATATTATTGGAATATATGTGTGTTTGCATTTGCATGTGTGTACTTCATGTCTATCTTTACTAAAAGAAACTTAAGACTATGTGTAACGTTTTTGCAGGTTGACCTAGAAGAGTTAACGCAGCGAATGGAGCAGCTGACAAAGGAGGCCGAGAACCTGGCTGCCAGAGGAACACTCAAGGACAGCATAATCTCCACTCTCGCTTCTCAGATCCGAGCCATCCTCAGGTATGGCTGCCCTTGCCGTTATTCGCTTTTATTGATGCAATCCCTATCCGGCGTGAGCAGGTAGATAAATGGATATGATATATTAGAGTATAACACTCATGTTATCTGAATTTCCATTTGATTTTATAAATGCCCTTTAGTTTACATGAAGATAATAAACACTTTGAACACCCTGACATGATTGTTACAGATCAGGCAATATGAGTGTAGTCATCAACCAGCTGCGTCGCCTAGGAGAGGGTGACCCATGTGGGGAGTCACCAGCCGAGGGCACACAGGGTCACCGCCCACCACCAGCCCGATGCCCTCTGTGCCGGACTTCGATGTTGATGCTGTCTGCTCCTTCCTCAGTCAACCCAATGAGGTAAGGTTCCGGCGGAAGGAGGGCTCAGACCGGGTGGAGATTTCGGAGAGTCGCTAGGCTTAGCAAAGGTTCATTTGGAAATATATTGACAAAAGTAGGTTTGTAAGGAAAAAAATATTGTATTTTTATCTGCATATATATTTGTAAAAAGAAAAAATATGAAATATAGAATAGGGTTATCGATTATAATGTCTTATGTAATGCAATTCATCTAAAGTTTGGCCTGCAGTACTAGAACTAAATTTCAGAAAATGCAATGAATTAACAAATGCGACTGATTAACACAATCTCAGAATATTTCATTAACAAGTTTCCTGTAGATATAAACTATAACAATATAACATAGGTAAAGATAAACATTTGTAACAATGGTAATGGAATCTCCTAAATTCTTCAGCAAAAACCAACATTCCTCCACTAGTAATGTAAGTCATGAGGGAGACAAAGATGCTTCTCACTAACCTCAAAAGCATTCTAGTGCTTTAGATGCTAGTTCACCGAAGATTAACTTGCCTGGTGCATAAAGGTCTTCCCTGAATGCCAGTCTAAAGCGCAGGAGGCAGTGGTGATGTGACAAACTAACCCCATAAGAGGATATCAAGGTCCTGACTCGGTTTGCGTGTTCCCCTTGATGGTGCATGGCGTTTAACACAGGAGCTAATTCAGCAAATAAGTTTAAGCACTATAGAAGCTTGAAGATAAACCTTACTATCAACGACGCACAAATTTACCAAGATATGAGCCATCTTTGTGTGTGGAGTGTGAACTAATATGATAATACTATTAAACTAAATGCATAAGCTAAAGATGACAGGGAACCCTTTTTTTTTTATCTTATTTGGTTGAAGAGCTTTAGAAACTCTCTTTACTTTCAGGACTTGAAAATCTAAAGCAATGGAATTCGGCGTGAGCGTGAGACAGGATAGAGCCTATTGCCTCTCCTAAGAGAAGGTTAAATTTGTTACGGCGTTCAGAACAATAGGAGGTGAACGTACTCTCTCTCAAAGCTCCCATGTGAATCGGTCTTGTGCCATGAGCTGTTAGATTTGCGACTGTCCTAGATGCTCAGATGCATTCACAATGTGATCAGAATGAGTAGCGTCTTGTTAATAACTGATAAAAACGAAAAATGAAGAAACATGGTAGCTTTAGGAAGGTATTAGGGATCACCCAAATAGTGTGTGGAGTGTCAGAAAGTAGTGTAGGTTACTTTAGAATTTTAACAACTTTTAAGCCTATAAACAGGAGATCAAAATAACAAAAGAGAGACACGGAGTAAGATTCACTCTAAGGATCTTTGTGCATAATCGTCGAGCGTTTCCAGTTTTGGCCGCTAGAGACTTGGCCTGTGTGTCTTCGTTTTATTGTTTACGGACTTGAGATTCTGTCGTAACGATCTTCCACTAACTGTCTGTAAAGTAGTAACTTTGGATCCTTTCTGAGTAATTCTTGTAGTGAAGTTTGTTAACGGAGGGTTACAGTTTTTTCCACTACGGGATCGGTTTTGAGTGATGCATTAATAGTTTGGTGAAGCCTTTGTAGACTCATTTTTGGTGTTGGTGTGTTGTGTAATGATGGTGTGTGCAATGAATCCTAATTGTATGCATTGCGATGCTGCTGTAGCATTAATACTGCTCTCATCATGTAGCTTTTTTGTTGATGTTTCTATTGCATGTGAATCTTTCTTTTGTAATGGCATAAATTTGGGATATATGGTGAATAATGTATCTGTAGTTTCTGTTGCATTTGTTGTATTCATCATTCAAATATGATTACAATTTGCCTTTCATTATGCCATGCCCACGTCTTTGGCCAAGATCATTCAACGCTCCATTTTCCTTGTACAAGGCCATATGACATTTAAGCTGTATTCTATTGCTTCAAACTTTGTATTTCGACTTAAACTAATGGATGGTTTGAAGAGACCATGGCACACTGAAAGGAATTTTCCCCTAAACTTTTTTACATTGCTTTCTCTCCATTCTCCAGATGGCTTATTTGTCTCAGTCCGCCATCTCGAACGGGACGGAGCCATCTAGTCACGTGACCCTGCAGTCTGATGTCTCTTTAGCTCTCTCTGCGACAGAGCTCAGTGGTCACGTGACCTGCCACGGCTCTTCTTCATTGGCTCAACGTAGAAAGTCTCGCATACCACGATACATGCCCTCTTCTGTGCCCAGTGCAAAACCCGCATCTAAGCCAGTGCGTATGGTTAAGCCCGATGTTGTGCCTGAACAGTCCGTAAAACCAGAGGCAGAGCCGGTGCAATTTGTAAAGCCTGCACCGAGCCCTGCCCCTGCGAGCAGACCTGTGTCAGTGCACACGAGAATTGCAGAACCTACGCCAGAACCTAGGCGGGAGTTCAAGCAAACTCCAGCAAAACCTCCACCTATGTTGAAGCCCTTGGCGACCTCTACTCCAGCAAAACCCACGGGCAGAAAGGTTGACCAATCTTTACTTTTTCTCCTTATCTCATCTTGAGCAGTAATATTGCTAGTGCTTTTTTATATTCCTGCTGTAATTTATATAGAGTATGTATCTCTTCTTTTTTTCTAGTGTACTGCTAAGTAAGAAACATTTTGCAGTTGCTATTTCCCAGCAATCTTTTAAGTACTTGTAATCGCTTAAGGAAAAGTGGAAGTACTTCAAGACAAGTAAACCACACGAAAATTTATAGAAAAGATTTCTTTGTCATGTTAATGATGCTTTCTGTTTACAACTTAGACTCTAATACATTTTTTCTCATTTTTTCTGTTTAACCTCTTACTGGTTAAGGAAAAGCCATTAAATATTTCAAAGGAATCTTCAGTAATCCTTAAACTCCCAACTGGCAGTGAGTGGAATGCCCCACCACTCAGACCTTCGTGAGTGCAGATTTTTGGCATGTGACGATTTCTTGCTTGCTTTTAGGACTCGACCAGACGAGAGCGGCCGGGAAGGTTTCTCTCCGACGCGCGGAAGGTCAAGCGGATGGTGGTAAGATGTCCCGATTTTTATGCTGATGGAGCCATCTTGGCATTGGTGGCCACTGCCATTTACAGATTTACGTTTCCATGATCAGAAGTGTTAACAGGCTTGGCTGTTAAAAATTAGCCTAGCATTGACTATACACAATGAGCCAGTTAGCAGTATTAGAATAAAAAGGTTAAATTGAATTTTGATTTACACATTCTTTGATTAATTTTCATCTTCTGAAAATTCAGCATATAGATCTTGCATTATGGAGTTATTTTCATCCATGCCTTGTTTAAATTCTTGACAATTAATACTGTTCGTTTAGCTGCCCTTTTATAATAAGGAATAACAAATAATACAATCACTTTAAAATCACTGAAATGATAAAGTTGCACTTGACTATGAAGGTACATATGTTGATTTATGTCACCAGTCAAACTGCAGCTTATGATATAGTATTCGCTAACGCCGTAGTAGGTGTCCAAACTAGCCTATCTACATGAGGTAGATTTCATACAGGTAAGTATTTTTCAAGAGAAAAGTTTAGGCTTTGTTGCATTTGTAAGTAAACGTCTCATTCATATTTTGATGCTGTGAAGCAGGGCCTTGCTAAACGTTTGATGCGGCTAAGATTTTATAACCTGTCGCTAAATTAAAGTGGCATTAATACCGAGATGTATATGTGATGTAAACGAATTTGTCAGATTAAGCGAATAATATGCTATAAACTACCGGAGTTGACATGTGACAACGTATGCTTCGTTTGTTGCTTTGTGATCTGAAACGATTTTTGATTAGTAATTTTCATCACCTAAAATATGGGATTCACTATCTAAGTTAAATCTGTGAAATTTTTGAAGGCATGTTTTGTCCGAGCTTTATATAAATGTGATTTAACCAGTTTTAGCTGCTTTAAGTAGTCTCGACTGCTCATCATTACTGAATGCCAACTCTAACATTGGCTTCTATGCTTTTAGACTGGCGTGGCCCCGTTGGACGCAGCGGTAGACTGCTCATCAGCCCCAGAGTGGCGGAGCGGTCCCCATCTCAACGCCGTCAGACGTGGAGGCCACGTGCGTCCCGCGCCCGCAGAACCTGCACATCACGCGGCGAGTCGGCGTTGACGGTGTTTCATCGCGTGGGCGCCCTTGGACCATGATTGTGTCGCTGGGTTCCAGGTAATGGAATTTTACATATTCCGTTCCCAAGCCTTATTTCAAGTCCAACATCCAGCATTCCAAAAAAAATGTATTAATTAAGACTAACAATCCTGGTATTTCATACTGTATTTTATTGGCAGGTCCTTGTGGGAGGACGGGTTGTACAGCATGTCAGGTCCCCTCACCGCACAAAAGCCTTGGTGACGGGGCTGCCCCTCGCCGGCGCCTTCACCATAGGTTTAGTCACGGTCGCTCACGACGGGCGCTGCTCGACGCCCGTCATCGTCACCCAGGACCGATCGAGGGTCTACCCGGGAGAAGCGCCCCCCGCGCCCGACGCTACAGAGATGGCGTCCCGACTTGCCTCTGACCTGAGCAGTCGGGCCGACGTCCTGAGGGGACCAGCCCGGGGCTCGCCTGGAGCCATCCAGTGACCCAGTCAGCAGCCGTCCATGACCTTTCTTTGCTGGAGAGGAAGTCTGCTTGATTCATGTTAGAAGCAGCAGTGATTGGTGATATTCTAAATTTGTTAATTGCTCTAAATATTTATTCGTAGTATTTTGATACTACACATTATCTTGTTATGAAATATTCCATGATAATCAGTGCCTTAAATTTGGACATAATTACTTTATTGGAGTAATGACTTGGTAATCGCATTGTAATGCAGTGTAAATCAATGCAGTGTGTAAATTATTTGATGAAACAATCAACCCATTGGAAACCGAACGCACGAAAGCATG